ATTACTATGGGTCACCCCATCACAGCTGCTCGCGATCTGGCCACAGATCACCATGCTCCTGTTGATCAACCAGCCCGCGCTCGATGCATTCTGAACCTCGGAATCAATCTCCGCCCCGACCTACGTTACCACCACTCTCCCCACCCCCTCATCCACAATCAGACATGGAAGAGGGCCAGCTCTCCGAAACGGAACCGGATATGTCTCCTAGTGTTCGCTCTTCCATGCTCGCGCTGGGAGAAGGGGTAATCTTGGCCGAGACATCACCCCCAGATGATCTTAAAGAATTCCAAGACCTCTTTAAACGAGTGGCGCAATCTCAGGAGGTACAACTCACGGAGGCTGGGGTGAAACGGCATAAGCTGTTTAAGAACTTACATCCTAAACATCAACGGAAGATTGCCCTCCCTATAGACGAGGCTATCATGGAGGTAGCTGAGGAGATTTTGCAGACACCAACATCTATACTACCTATGAATAAAAGGGCGGACAAAAAATATTTCATCCCCTCCAAAGGCCTAGACTTTCTTTTCAATCACCGACAGCCTAATTCTTTAATAGTAGATGCTGTCCGCCACAAAGCTAAGACGCCCCATTTTAAGACCTCCCTCCCGGAGAAGGACTCTAAAAAATAGGACTTATTCGGCCGTAAGATATATTCTTCCGCAACCTTCTCCGAATCGCCAACTACGCGGCCCTCCTATCAAACCACAACTTTGATAACTATTCAAGCTTCCGGATCTGATGCAACACCTTCCCGACTGCAAGAAACCTCTTTTAAAGGCTATTGTCCAGGAGGGGTATACCGCGTGTAGAACATCACTTCAAATCGCTGCAGACATAGCAGATACGGCTGCATGAGCCATGGCGACAGGCATCGCCATGCGGAGAGCCTCCTGGTTCCTGTCAGCGGGAGCCCCTCGAGAATTGCAGTCAAAGGTCGAAGATCTGCCGTTTGATCGACAGAAGCTGTTTGCCTCCACGACCGATGAGATTCTACATTCGGGAAAGGACTCTCGTACTACCCTCCGAACCTTGGGCATGTACACCCCTCCAGTCAAGCGTAAACGATACTACCCCTTTCAAAGGAGGTATGACTATTCATCCTTCAAACAGCAACAACGCGGACCTGACCAGTCCAGATTTAGACAGCGTCCACAGTGCAAGCGCCAGCAACAGAATCGAACATCTGCTCGGCCTGCTTCTAAGCAGCAGGTTTGACTCCCATGTCAAGGACTCGAACAAGTCTCTCGTCGTCATCACACAGAAGCCTGCAAACAACCTCTTCCATCATCGGCTGAGGCCATACCGTCATCAATGGGCCAGCATTACCTCGGACCGATGGGTCCTGGAAGTGATATCATCAGGACTCACGATTCCCTTTACCTCAGTTCCCCCGAGGACCTCACCCACCCCGTCCCTTTCCAGGGACCCATCTCACGGGGTCGCTCTTCAGCACGAGGTCTACCACCTTCTACAGATTGGGGCCATAGAACGAGTACCCGTGGAGTTCCGGGGGAAAGGCTTCTACTCCACGTATTTCCTGGTCCCCAAAAAGTCCGGGGGGTGGAGGCCTATCCTCGACCTGAGAGGCCTCAATCGCTACATTCGAAAGCAGCGCTTCAAGATGACCACGCTGGCCAAGATCATACCGGCGCTAAACAAGGGAGACTGGTTCACAGTCCTAGACTTACAGGATGCATACTTTCATATCACGATGCACATAGCGCACAGATGTTTTCTTCGGTTCGTAGTGGGAGACGAGCACTTCCAATACAGGGTGCTCCCTTTCGGCCTGGTATCGGCCCCGAGAGTGTTCTCAAAGACACTAACAGTGGTGGCCGCCCATCTACGCAAAACAGGGGTCTCAATTTTCCCGTATCTCGACGACTGCCTCATCAAGGGTCACACGCAGTCGGAAACACATTACACGGTAGCCGCAACGCGGGATCTATTTGACTCCCTCGGCCTCATTGTAAACATGCAAAAATCACGTCTGCAACCGACACAAACTCTAACCTTCATAGGAGCCCGACTCGACTCTCTCTCAGAGTGAGCTCATCTTCCGGTCGAGCGCTTCCAAGTCATAAAGGACTTAATAGGCACAGTCTTACAAGCTCCAACACTCCCAGTACGGGTATATTTACAGTCGATGTGCCCAGCCACTACGATCATCGTGCGGCATTCAAGGTTGCATTTGCGGTGCCTGCAACATTGGTTATGCACTGTGTACAACCCCGTCAGACACAACACCCGAAAACTCGTGGCTCTACCCGTACATGTAAAGAAGTTCCTCCGTTGGTGGGTCAACCCCAACAATACGTTGTCAGGAGTCCCCTTCCATGTGACACAGCCATCAAAAGAGATAACAACAGTTATCTCTCGTGGGATGGGGTGCTGACATCGGCACGGAAACAGCTCAGGGCCGCTGGGCCGCATCGGAACGGATGTTACATATCAACCTTCTCGAGTTGCGGGCGGTGTTCCATGCCTGCAGACAGTTCAGGACGCATATAAGAGGCACGACAACCAGAATTCTCACCGACAACATCGTCGTGATGTATTACGTGAACAGACAAGGAGGCGCCCGGTCCCTCTGCGCGGAGGCAGTCCGCTTATGGACGTAGTTCATTCGAAACGACATCATTATAGTCGCATCATACTTACCCGGTGCGAACAACACCATCACGGATGCATTGAGCAGATACTTTCATCACGATCACGAGTGTGTGGTCAGTACGGAAGTCCTCCTACCTCTTTTCCGTCGCTGGGGCTGTCCGATGATAGATCTCTTCGCCACTCGGGCCAACAGGAAATGCGCAGCATACTGTTCCAGAGCAGGAGCAGGCACTGGTTCCCTGGGAGATGCCTTTCTCCGACACTGGAGAACATCATGGTTATATGCATTCCCCCGTTGTGCTCATTCCCAGAGTGCTCGAGAAGATCCTCATGGATAAGGCGAGAGTCTTACTCATAGCTCCGGCCTGGCCCAGACAGCCATGGTACTCAACTCTCCTGCAGCTGTCCACGCGACCACCATACAGCTTCCCGCATCAACCGGACCTCCTGACGCAGCAGAACGGCGCCCTTCTGCATCCGAAGTTGAACACTCTGCATCTAACTGCATGGATGATAGATGGTTCAGCGCGTCCGAGAGTCTTTGCTCGGACCAGGTGAAATGGGTATTGCTGCATAGCAGGAAAGACTCTACCAGGAAAACCTACCTGTCCAAATGGTCTAGGTTCACACGTTGGTGTGTTCCAAAGGGCCTAAACCCTTTTCTCTCACCACCGCATGTCCTCTTGGACTATATCCTTCAGTTACAGGTTGCCGGGCTCTCCATATCATCACTCAGAGTTCATGTAGCAGCAATTGCGGACTTTCACGCCCCGGTAGAGGGCAGGTCAATCTTTTCTCACCCCATGGTCAGAAGATTTCTTAAAGGCCTGACTAACCTTAATCCACCTAGCAGGCCCCCACCACCTGCATGGAGCCTAGACCTTGTGTTGGACACCCTGACGCGTCCTCCCTTTGAACCCTTGGCGACGGTACCCTAGCCTATACTGGCAATGAAAGTACTCTTCCTCTTGGCCGTAACATCAGTGCGTAGGGTCAGCGAGCTGGCAGCACTAATGGCATTTGCCCCCCTATACAGTATTTAGTAAGGAATCTGTAACATTGAGATCTCATCCGGCTTTCCTACCTAAGGTCTGCACAGAATTTCATATTAATGAGCCAATCGTTTTGCCATGCTTCTATCCAAAGCCTCACATCTCTCAGCGGGATGCGCTCCTGCATACCCTGGACGTCTGTCGGGCATTGGCATTCTATATAGATAGAACCCGCAACATCTGGAAAACAGATTGCCTTATTATTTCGGCGTCAGACCGCTTTAAGGGCCAACCCCTCTCGGCCCAGCGTATTTCGAAACTCGTCGTCTCCTGCATTACCACCTGTTACACCATTCGCGACAAGCTGCTCCCATCGCAGCCAAGGGCTCACTCGATGCGAGCAGTGGCGACGTCAGCAGTGTTCGTTAGGGGAGTCCCTTTACGCGACATCTGCCGGGCAGCCACTTGATTTTCCAATACCACATTTTCAAGGCACTATGCAATCACGTAGCACCTAGCTTCCGATTCAGCAGTGGCTCTAGCAGTACTCCCTAGCCACCAAAATCGTGATTCTACAGCCCACGTCTAACTCAGATTAGTGCTCTGGAGTCACCAGACATGCAGCACCCACGGGGACTACCCGAAGAAGAAAAAGAAGTTACTCACTTTCGTGCAGTAACGATGGTTCTTCGAGGTGTGTCCCCCGTGGGTGCTCCACGACCCGCCCTCCTCCCCGCTACGGAATCTCCTCTGTTTCTGTCTTGCAGAGGGGCAGTGAGAGGAAACTGGCGGGCGCCGGACTGCGCGCGGCACATGAAAGGCGCGAAACTGGCTCGAGCATGCGCAGTCCGGCCGAACACAGCTCTGGCAAGCTCCGATTCGTGGCGCCGGGACCAGCCCGACACCAGACATGGAGCACCCACAGGGACACACCTCGAAGAACCATCGTTACTGCACGGAAGTGAGTAACTTCTTTTTATGCAGGACTTTTGAGCTCTTATGATGAGCTGAATATCTCTCCAGCCATTGAGAATTTTGGTAACCCCCTAAAAATAGATTGATCATTTACACTGCAGCAAAATATCTTGATATTTTTCAAGGAAGAGAAAGAAATGCATGGAAAACTTATTCAAGAAGATAAGAAATCCATCAAATGCTATGAAAATTTTCTACTGTGTTTTCCTATCCAGGAAAGACAGAGTGTGTCCACTGTTATTCAGAAACACTGTTCTTATAGTAGAATATCATCAGTAGCCCTCAATTGAAACAATCATACATTTCTCTTGAGTATATTTAGGTATTGAAGATTTAAATGTTAATTTTTTGTAACATTTTAAAAAGGAGAGAATTCAAAGGTGTTTATTGAAATGACACATTTTTCTTTTCTAGTGCTGGGATTGGACGGACAGGAGTTCTTATCACTATGGAAACAGCGATGTGTCTCATTGAGTGCAATCAGCCTGTTTATCCATTAGATATCGTGAGAACAATGAGAGATCAAAGGGCCATGATGATCCAAACACCCGTGAGTATCATATTTATAGAAAAGTAGTCTCATGTTACACCGTAGTTTCATTCTCACTGAAAACAGTAACAAGTGCTGGATTTTTTTGAAAGAGTGCAGCTTAACTAAGCATGCTATGGCCTTGGTCCATTGAGAACAATAAGATATCTCAGGCATTTTGAAAGTGTGTGATTTTTCATGAGTTTCTCTGCAACAGCTACTGCTGACAGACATACTTTTTCAATAATGAAAATAAATGGCAAAAATCTCTGTTCATTCTAAGCATTTTGTTTTAGAAGCAGTCTGTTGCACCAGATCTGCTCAATGAAGGGAGAGAGTAGGGAGGTGAAACTAGAGGTGTGGGAAGGGAAGGTGACAAAAATGAGCAAAATATTGTAGCATGTGTGAAGGGAAATGGAGAAAGTACCAGGAAACAGGAGTTTGGATGAGATGAATTACAAGGGAAGCTGGATGATACAATCCAGCTGTGTAATTCTGCTCTGGCATTACATAAAACAACTTGAACTCCGCCCTAGAGTGACACAATAGAGAGACTGAACAGAAGAAATCTAATGTGTCTTAAAAAATTAATTTAATCTAAATTGGGAACATAAAGTATTTCATAGTATCATAAGAGGACACATCATAAAGTGATTTTGGATGCCTTATCTATCTGTTTCCATATCTTAGCATGTTTGGGTTTTCTTAGGTATATAATGCTTGGTTTGGGGATAATTGCAACATCCTATAATGTACTTTAGCCTAAATTACTGATATGTATTCTCTACTTTACTCTATTTTAAGGTAATTTTTGTTTGGGGAATAGATTGAGAATCTGTTTAAGAGCTTTCATTTGTAACGTAAGTTACATCTGACAGCTGTTCATAGTTGAGCTTAATAGACATAAACAAAATTTCAGTGAAATGCTTCCTTTTAACTATTACATCAGCAGTATAGCAGACTAAATAAGATTCATTGTTTTACTCAAGGACAGCATAAACTCTGCATGTCGTCATTGTTTCCTTAGACTTTTTCCTCCTACCTTTGCAATTCCGGATTGATACATGCACTTTCCACAAGGTGGCACTATGCCATGTTCATGCTTTCCAAGTAGTAAGTGAAAAGAACTAAGAGTTGATTTTCTAGTGAGATCTTCAAACAGAAAAACAGCAAAATATACTGATATATATAAATCTAGCTATACTGATACACTTGTAATGAACAATAAACAATTAACATTTTAAATCTACATAACTAGATCTATCATCTGTTCAACAACCAGGCCTAGATAAAAATGGTTTAAGACACTGCAAAGATAAAAATACTAACTTTTCAGTAATACATATTGTTATACGGCAATTGTTATATCTGTGAAACTTTGAAAGATAATGGCCGTATTTTATAGCCTGATCTGGAGTATTGTTTTGCATTTTTTTGTTTAGTTGAGACATGGTTTTAGTAACTTGTATCTCAAGAACCGCTGTAGTTGAAAATTGAATGTGGTAGAAATTAAGAAGCCAGGATTCTAGCTTTGATATAAAGCACTGGTTTCTTTTTCTAGAAGTTTTGAGATGTGAGCAACTAATGTCAAAATCAATATAATGAGGAAATAAACACCTAAGTGGTTTAAATACAATATTTCTTAAAATATTAGAGGTAGAAAAACCTAAACTAGTTAAACCATTGGGTTGGAGTGAAACTTTGAATTAGTTATAATTTAAATGAGTGATGTTAAAATTTGTGGATGTGATTTTTTTTTTCTTTCAGTAAAATACAGTCTGTTCCATCTTTTGCTTTTCTTTCTTAGGATAACTTCACTATAGTTTTGTTTGTCTAAGCACACTTCTCAATGCAGATATTTAGCAAAGTACTGCTTTTGATGAGGCACAATTCTGCCCTGTCAAGATAGGATGGGTCATCTAACTTACATGATTAAATTATGTTTCTTCCTCAATTAACTTAATCAACTTTCTTTTCAGAGTCAATACAGATTTGTTTGCGAAGCTATTTTGAAGGTCTACGAAGAAGGATTTGTTAAACCTTTAAAGACATCGCTGCATAAATAAGAGTACAAGGGCTAGGATTCATATTGAAGTATCCTGTCCTCTATAAAAAAAAAAAACTGGCACTGTTCATTGTGCCATAACTCTGCTTGCAGGAAATGGCATCAGAGAACAATGAAGAATTGACAAAGGACTTTGAAAACTTCAGCACTGTTGCACTTTATGTTGAAACAAAAATCAATCTCAAAAACTCTATTACTTACATGTGTTTGAAGACTCAATTATTTTCACGCTTTGCTCCGAACAAACCATAAATTGAATGAACTGAGTGTGTTCAGGGTAAATTATGAGATCTCATTGTAGTGCCATATGCTCCCCCTTCTGGTTGAATTGCTACAAACAAGGCTTGGAATTACTTCACTCTGGTATACAACTGCATCTTTTAAAAACATAACAAAAACCTACACTAAGCCATGGCCTCTTCCAGTGCTAGATTTATTTACTGTGTATGGATCCTCACTTTTGTTTCTTAAAACATCAGCAATATTGCCAATATTAGATAGGGAGACACTGCCTACTGATGCAGCACACTTTGCTCTTTACCCCTATTAGGGACTAGCTGGTTATTACAGGAAAACTGGAATCTTAACCCAGCAGTAGCTGCGTAATGGCCACTTACCAGCATCTTGTAAAATATAAACTGCATTTATTTGAACTAATGGCACAGTTTATTTCTGTGTCATAACACTGGTGTATTCCAAATCATGTGACTTAAGATTACATAATGGGAACTAGTGCATGCATTGCGTCTTAACCCCTTAAGTGCCTTGAGACTTACAGTGTATGTCTAATGAAAAGGCACTCACATGACCCTATGGGGGAGATATTATCCCGTCATATTTATTTTAATGGGTTCATATTTTAAAACATGGCCCTTGGTGCTTTGAATATGGTACTTCAAGGGGTCACAGAATACCATTCCCTTTTTTCCTTATGCAAATACCTGCATACTACTGTGGGTAGCAATTGCACCTCTGCCTACTTAATGTGTGAGCATTGTTTGCTGCTGTGAAATTATATGGAAATCCTAACACATTCCTTTCAATTGGTAATTTATTAGCAACAGATACTGAAAAAGTAGGTTGTTAGAACTTGTTTTACCCTACCATTGAGAAAATCTGTCTCATTTAATTAAATTATAACTTTTTAATAGCACTGATATTTAAGCTTAAACTTACCATCAAGTGTGATTAATTCCTTTTTCATTATCTGATAACCATTTATTTTTCTAAGGCCTCATCAGTTGATTTCAAGCCATGTTCGTACTGGACTTCTTAATTATTATTATTATTATTACTACTACTAAAGTAAGGAATAAAACACTGTCAGATTGCCCCAAAACTTTATTTTAATCTCTTAATGACCCCGGTCATTTTTTCTGTTATCCTTGTATAAAATTAAATTGTTCCATTTTGTGTGTGTTGTTTCTTATTTAAGTCATTAGCATATTTTGTAATGAGCAGTTTGTCTGTTTGATACAGTATCTGAGCTCATTGTAAGCATGTGTATATCTTGTCCCTTTTAAATATTTTTTCTGGTTTGGGAGAAACCAACTGATAAGCAAGGTGTCTAGCTTAATAAAGGGGTTCAGTCACTTTTTTGACTACCCTGAAAAACCTAACTTTACATGCCCAGTATTTAAGAGGTTTGTTGTTTTATTGTTTCCTGGAAATTATCTATTTGATTTTAATTAGCTATATAAAGTGTAGAATTAAGAGATAAAAGTTCCAGACTGAGAGAATTTAAATATTGTAACATTCTTTTATTTAATATGCTCTCTTCTGTGCTCATTTAGAAGAGACCGCAGTTATAAAATATTTTAAAAAACAATTCAGGTTAATTGAGGTCCTGGTTTATGAATTTGTAAACACCAAGAATCATGATGCCAAATAGAGACATAGAGTTTTAAATATTTTTAGAAATGAAAAGAGCATAATGAATATTAGGTGGGCTATAGCCCTTATTTACAAAGAAATTCTGCTATGTATATTTCTAGAGTTGACATTCAAATCAATATTATCATCCCCCTGTGAACAGGTTTATCTATTTCAACATTCAGCGTAAACTACTACTGCCAGGTAACTGACAATATGCCTAGAGAAATTAATGTGGACAGGTAGTAATTTTATCCAAGTTTAAATTGAGGATTTATTAATCAGAATGGATTGCCAAGAACATTCTCCTTCAGTTTATATCCTCCAGCCTGTAGGATTGCCATCTGTATTTGCTGTACTACTTGTAATCCTGATAGGTGCTCTGTACCTCAGAAGGAGGCACTCAGCACCTTGTAGGATTGGAGCCTTTTGGTGCAGTTTCAGAAACTTTGCCGTTCTATCACTCAGGTAGCAAAAAAAGATTTGCAGTATAGGCTGTTGTTTTAACACCTCGGATGATGGCAGGAAGACATTTTCCATGGAAGTATTGAAAAAATCCCTGTCCTCAGTAGTCCATTTGTAGTCAACAGAACATGAAATCACAGGATGTCATCTTACACCTAGATACCTAAGTATGTGATAAAACACCTTTGAATATTAAGCCAAAAGTAGCTGTTCCTATTTTAATGGCCATACAAAATGAATACTTTATCTCAATTAGTGAGACTGAAAAATAATAGTAATAAACTGCTTTTAATCTTAGTTTTGTTTTAAGCGATCTGCAACAAAATTGTTACCCTAGCCTGTACTACTTTGGAAAGCTTTCAAGCTTTGAGTTCTACGTGGCAGCACTTTGAGTCATAATATTGGCTAGCTCGAAGGCTAATTTAACTAAGCACTTAATGTTTAAAAAATTAAATTTTAAAATATACATCTATTATATTAAGATATTTTATGTTCATAACCAAGTTGTAAGTGAAAATAATGGCATTTCCCTTTTTCATACTCTTACTGAGAGAAAGCAGGAATAAAGAATTAATAGTGACATTGTGTAATACTGGTATTTTACATATTTAAATATTCTTATGTAAGGTTGCCAAAGCAGTTTGAGTTCACAAGATCCATTTATACCACAATTGAGTGGAGTGTATATTATTGACTGTTTTATGTATTGATTTCAGATAGAGACAAGAATATAAGGTTTCTTAGAAGTCTTCATCTGCATTGACTTAAACTGATTTAGTGTACTGACCGGTTACAGTGGGGGGAAAAATTCAAAGTATCAGTATATTAGCTGAAATTACCAGTTTTACCAGTTGATAGACAAATGTGAGGGGGCTTTTTAGCTTTCTTAAAGGCACATATATGGTGACAATTAAGACTTTGTTGGGCAGCATTGAAAAGCATCAAAGCCCTTATTGCACCATAGAATGTTAGTTCCAAAAAAACGTCTACCTGTTGTGGTATGAATGGCCTTAAAATATTTTTCTATGTCTGCAAATAGTCAAAACTGTTAAATGTTTTACTTTGGGTTATGAAGAGCTGTATCATTAGCCTCAAAAGAAAAAAAAAGCCTGTTTCATGCTGTACAAAATGTGAATGTATATTTCAGACATAATAATATACAAGTGGTTAGTGTTATGACTTGGATTTTATGGATAATTATTTTCATACCATTTGTTTAAAATAAAGTTGAGGTGGGAGGGGAAGAAAGGAAAAAGTGTTTAAAAAAATTGTAACACTTCCATGATACTAATGCAGTTTTTTTTAAATCAAGTGGCTTTGGTTGTAAATAACAGCAATATTATGAGAGTTTGTGCCAATGTATAATGTTACAGATTTTGGGTTTTTTTCTTTTTGTTTTGGCTTCATGATTGAAAACTGCAATTGCCATTTTTTATTTCAAGTATCTTTGCTAAAGGATTTTTTTTTAATGCAGAAATTTAGGGCTCTTGAATTTTTTGAGTGTTTCGAGGGAAGAAGCATGATTTTTTTTGTTTGTTTTTGCTAAATATGAAGTAATATACAGCTATCTTCATGAAGCATTACAGAAATGTCAGCCAATCACTCTGAGAAGTAACTTTAGATAAGCCAGCCAAATGTGATTTATCAGCATTCAGTTATGTTGCATTTGGAGGCATTTTTTAGTGTTCAAGTACATTATTCTTAAGCAATAAAACTTACAACTATTATGCTCATTATTGCAAAATTTTCTGCCCCAGTCACTAATAACAGAAGTCTTGATTATTCAGACCCTTACACTTAGCATTAGGTCATGTTTCTTCCACGTTTCCACAAATTACAATTTGAAATTATTGTAGTTTACATGTCTCCTTCTGCAACAGCATTTTGATAGCATGTCTTATTCATTCTGCCATCCTCTATCACAAAAAACATTAAAAAAGCAGTTGAAGAGACCGAGAAAGATCTGCCGTGGAACCACGAAACTGTCACCTTCCCTTGAGAATGAGCATATAACTTTGCAAAACCCAAAGGAAGGCTAAAATGTTGCTGAACTGCTGCAGTTTCACCATGCAAGGAGACAGAAAGTAGAGAAGGTCATGCAGGAAGATGCTGTAGCCCCCTGGGTGCAGTGGAGTAGAATTGCTCGGTATTCCAGCTGTTACCATATGTATGAGGCACGGGAGTGTTCAATAGTAAAGGGACTTTGCAAGGGCATTTCCTCTCCGTCAGTGAAGTGTATGGATCCAACAGCTACAAACCTCCAAGTAGGGAGCAGGAAATCCAACCCGTGTGCTGTAGGAGAGCCAGCAGACCTGCTTGCAGGTGCCCCATGCCTTGGTTCTGAGGAGGCAATGAAAGATTCTGGTTTTACATTCAGATTTTGCAAAAACAATAAGGAGTCTTGTGGCACCTTAGAGACTTAACACTTCTTACTAGGGCATAAGCTTTTGTGGATAAAATCCACTTCATATTATCCTTGAAAGCTTATGCCCTAATAAATCTATTAGTCTCTAAGGTGCCACAGGACTCCCCATTTTTGCAGATACAGACTAACACAGCTACCCTTGTGAGACTATCCAAATTTTGTTTACCCCAAACTTTGTATACGTGACAGGAATTTTAGCCCCTAAAGTCACCTATGATTAAACATTTATAATCTCATGTACATCACAAATTCCAGGTCTCCGGTTTGCTATACATTATGTTGCATC